TGTATGAACCAGTACACCGGGGTAACCCCCTACTTGTATAAATGGGTACCTGGTAGGAGGTGAATGCAGGGATGTTATTTTGCAGGGCGGTGCCGGGCGGGGCCACCCTGCCTAAAAGTCTACCACCCAGCCTAAAGCAGATGTGTATAAGAGACAGGCCTTAACTATAAACCATGCCAGACAAAGGTGTATGCAAAATAGTATTGAATTGTGTCTACTTTTAATTGGTGAGAATTTTTAGATTTGGTTTGGTTTTGGTGTGAAACCCACTACCAAGGATAACTCAGGAAAGTTATATTTCTAGTGGGCCTATTGGCAGTGCACAAGGAGAAAATGCGGTGGTAGAAGGTTGAAAGCATTAGTATGAATAATTAATTCAACTACATATTTACTATATTTTTTTAACTTTTTTTCTTTTCCATAGCTGTCAATGCTTGTGCTAATAATCTCTGTCAGAATGGAGGAGCATGTACTGCTGTTGCTGGTTCCTGCACTGATTATACCTGTACCTGTACAGGTTGCTTCACTGGAACATTTTGTACAACAGGTAGAGCAATACTTATATCTATTAAACAGTTGGTTTGGATTTTTAGGAATTAATGTAATGTGATTCGATTTATAAAGCACTTTATACCGCAGTCTCAAAAATCGCTTGAGGTGTGGACTAGCTCGCGCAGCAACTTTCTTCTCCCCTAAGGCCTTTGTGTCTGTGCTACCAGCTATCTCTCGTCTGTCCACAACAGGGGCTGTATGAACCAGTACACCGGGGTAACCCCCTACTTGTATAAATGGGTACCTGGTAGGAGGTGAATGCAGGGATGTTATTTTGCAGGGCGGTGCCGGGCGGGGCCACCCTGCCTAAAAGTCTACCACCCAGCCTAAAGCAAAATTTAATGCCTTCTGCCCAGCGTCAAACGTACATATCCGCCCATCCCGAATTCTTACTTTTTTCGCGAGATATCATCATATATTTCTAGCCTCAAACCTCATGCAAGCAGCCTAGCAAATAAAACAACATCGGAAAACCAACCAAGTGGAACTGCCAGGCTTTAGCGCTGATTGGACGCTCACGTTCTACTTGACTGAACAGTAAACTGTGTGATCACCTGGAAATTGACACTTGTGTCCTATCAGTCACATGATCTGTATGCGGTATTGAGTTTGTTATTGTTTTGAACGCTCGAGTTAATACACCGTAAAGATGGCCGAAGCGTGTGTAAATCGCTGAATGTCTGTTGTAAACGACATCAGAATTGCAGTGTCTGTATTTTTAGAAGTGAAATTTCTTTTACCAAATCACTGACAAATGTTCCAAGATTTATGTCGGAGAGGTTAAGCCAATATACATCAAAGAGAGTAAAATATAGCGATGGTAAAACTTCGACATTTTTTAAAGAGAAGTAGGCCTAGCCTATTGTGAATGATTCCCGTACGCTGTGCGCTACGCGACCCGTGGCAATCACTGGTCGGAAGGCTAAGAATAAAGCATAAAATCACAGCTTACAGCAAACATTTTTTAAATGTACAGCGACAAAGTGTTATATGCCAGTTATATACTACAGGCACATTTTTGAATTAGTTTTCATATATATATTCTCAAATATATTACTTAACCAGAGAGCATTAACCAGAGAGCATCTGTTCATGATTACTGTACAATTTCGCTATTCCCGCATCCAATGTTTTGATTTTATACCGCATACAGATCACGTGACTACCCTGGCAGCAGCAAGCGCAAAGTGTCAATTCGCGTGTTAGCGGTGCTATGGTTAAACAAAAGAAATAGAATGAAGGAAGAAACATTAGATGCGATCATGAGAATCGTAATTGAAGGCCCAACACTAAAAGAATACCCATTTAAGAAAGCTGTAGAGGCTTGGGCCAGTAAGAAAAATCGTCGCATTAAGTTGGACTAAGGCACACATAAATACCCCAAAGCGCGATAAATTAAGTATAAAATTTTAATTCTGTTTGATATCATCATTATACTGTTTGTTACATCGGACCATGATGTATTCGGACCATATTTATACACAAAACGCATTGTCTGATTGTTTCCCACACGATGATTAACAACTATTAACGACTATTTTTAACTCTCTGGGTTTTCCCATGTAGTGCGTCAGACCTCCAGAACACGCAGACGCAGATAAACAAATACATACAATACTGTAAACACTTTATTAACTCCTGCTAATTCATATTTGACCAACCAAAGATATGAACATTATTATCAGTATTGTTTCTTTATAATAAATAAACAACAAAACTTTTTAAAACATTGTATTTATTTTTTTATTATTAACTTCTTTATTCAATACTGCATAAATAAATAATTCACAATCGAAAACTACGTGATTCGCAAGAAAACGTCTGGTGAATGGAGTCCAATCTCGAGCTACCGCCGTCAATCTCGATCGGATCATTGGAGCATCATGCGTGTGTTGATAGAGGCTGAATGTTTGTGATTTGTTAATCGAAAGTTTGTTTTGAAATTGAACAAATAACGATTTTTCTTTTTACATTAATGTACTTACAATTCTTGCAATATAACACATACAACAATAAATCGATCGTTCTATTTATGTCTTTTTTTCCTGCACCTTCGATTCAAATGTGTTGTAAGAATACTCTAGGAGTAGGAGGCTAGGCCTAGTTGTTTTCTGAGACTAGGCTAGCGGCAGCCAGTGCGTGTGGTGCGATGATTTCTTGAAAAAAGCTAGGCCTAGGTTTGACAGGTGCATAATATATCACCCTTCTTCTTATTCAGGGATCAAATTTGCGTATGAAAAATATGAGATGAAAATATAACAAATAAACTTAACACACAGAAATTAAAGAAAACTTACAAGTTACTTTCAGTCAATAAAAGAACAGTGATTTTAGTAAAATCTAATATTTGCACTCATCTCACAGTATACTTACCTCTTTATTTAAACCAAACAAAGTAAGTCATAATTATCATTACCACCCCTCCCCCCCCCCCATTTAATAACTGTTCATGCGGTTGGCGCTACGCGAAAAAATACTCACAAGATTCAGCACCCACCCTTAAAATTTTAATACCCACCCTTAATTTTCACTGGCTACATCCCTGTGTATTAAAGTAGTGCTGATTACACGCTTAACTAGGAATGCATCCTAAATCAATTTAATTGTATCATTAAAAGCAATTATATAAACCTATTAAAGATGCATCCTCGTATTAACATTGAAAAATGAATTAAAATATCTATTGCTCAATTTTAAAAAATCAAATAATTTATCCAATGGTAGTGAAGATTGAAACAATTCAGACATTTCATTACTAAAATGCCTTAACTATAAACCATGCCAGACAAAGGTGTATGCAAAATAGTATTGAATTGTGTCTACTTTTAATTGGTGAGAATTTTTAGATTTGGTTTGGTTTTGCTGTGAAACCCACTACCAAGGATAACTCACGAAAGTTTTATTTCTAGTGGCCTATCTGGTGGTGAATTTGGCAATGCACAGGGAGACAGTGCAGAGGTAGAAGGTTGAAAGCATTAGTATGAATAATTAATTCAACTACATATTTACTATATTTTTTTTAAATTTTTTCTTTTCCATAGCTGTTAATGCTTGTGCTAATAACCTCTGTCAGAATGGAGGTGCATGTAGTGCTGTTGCTGGTTCCTGCACTGATTATACCTGTACCTGTCCAGCTTGCTTCACTGGAACATTTTGTACAACAGGTAGAGCAATCCTTATACAGTATCTGTTGGACAGTTGGTTAGGATTTTTTAGGAAGTAATGTAATGTGGTTCGATTTAAAAGGCCTAGAAATTAAGTTAGGGGTAGTGGAATGTTAGAAGCTGTCAACATAGCCAGATATCCTAATGAATCCCTCCTGGTCACCCTAAGCCCTGTTGACACTTGATTTTTCATCTTGTATACAAATGGCGGCCATTTTTTAAAATGGCCGCCAAATTTAACTAAATAAGCTACAGATATAATTTTGGTGTCTAAACTCATAATTTCTAAACAGGCAACAAACTAGACAACTACTACTACTACTACTAAAATACTACTGTCACTCAAGCCAGAATAGAACATAATTCAAGAATAGGTGTTATTTGTTTTATAATAACTGCAAAATATACTTAAAATGTACATAAAATAAGAATAAGTATATAAACTCACCAAAAGTAGTTTGGTATCGTTTAAAGCTCTTCCGATGCTGAATAATGTTTTGCAGTTAATCGTAAAAATTCAATTATCCGTATTAATATTATTAATATAAACAGGACACAGTTGCGTAACTCGTGAGCTCTTGTTGGGGGGAGGGCGGGCTCCTACTAACACATTACTACCAAGCCTTGTGCTTTCTGGACGAATTCCGAGTCCAAATAGGCCCTAGAGAGGCCACGTGGACCCTTCTTACTACTGATACTACACAGCACTCTTCTACAATGCCTTGACAATACAGTAACCTTTTCTATAATCACCGAAAAACCACTGTACTACCTATCACTTTACTAAAACGCCTTGAATATGGTAACTTTTTCTATAATTTTCAAAAAAACCAAATAGACCAAAGTCCCACAAATACATTCTTTCTCAGATTTATTAGAAGGGGTTCTTCCAACTATGCCCCAGCTTTTTACTAAGGAGGTTTGACCTGTTATGTAATGCCTGTGTGCTTTCTGGAGAAACGCTTAGTTCCTCCACTTCCAAATGTGTCCCAGAAAAGCCATGCCAGGGCCTACTTACTACTACCACCCTCGGAGCAATCTAATAATACAACGCTTTTGACAATATATTTTCTTTTAATTTTCAAAAATGTACGAGCCCCAGCCAGCTGCATCCCTACCCACCTTAAAATCCGCCTCTGCCCTTAAACATGGCAATGAATAAAGAATTAAATACATGGATATCCATAATAGTAGGCCTATTACTAAATACATGCAAAGATATTATACACAGCACGTTAAATTTGATTAAAATAATGTATACATTATAGGCCTACTAATAATTCGGATATTCGGATGATAAACGCTTGCAACATCATCGATTGGACCTTAAAATATGATGGTCATTTTATTCAGATTAGCCTTATCATGTTTCAGGGCAACATAATTTGTGGTATTGAAGTGACACTTTATTAAAAACAGTTAATGAATTTTGTTACTTAAACGTCATTATATTGATATTTTCAAGTCTATTAGATGACCTGAAGAAAAAGTGGTCTAGAAGTCGTAGGCTTACAATTATTATGGCGAAAGTAAATTTTTGTCTGTTTCTGAAAACAGTGTTACTGTAGTAGAGTCTATTATTAAATGTTGGAATGGTACCTTTTATAGACTTATAACCAAGGAACAGAGTAGCTTAACTCAATACATATTATTTACTATATTTTTTGAACTTTCTTTTCCATAGCTGTCAATGCTTGTGCTAATAACCTCTGTCAGAATGGAGCAGCTTGTAATGCTGTTGCTGGTTCCTGTACTGATTATACCTGTACCTGTCCAGCTTGCTTCACTGGAACATTTTGTCAAACAGGTGTGATTTTATTTAGTATTTTTTCAAGTGATATTATTTATTAATGTTATATTACCATATATCAATGTATTAATATAGTGAGTATATTATTCCAAGTCTCTCTTGGCTAGGCATAGATGAAATCAAATAATTTTACCCGTATGCGTGTGCTACAAGAGGTGATTATTATGTTATAGGTCCATGATCATATTAGATATATAAATATGTGATGAATGATACTAATTGTGTAATAATGTATAATAATAATAACAATAACAGCAAAGATAATAATAAGAGTAAATCTTTTAGACTGGACTTATTTATTTTGTGGATGAATAATAATATTTTAAAACACATAATATGTATTGATAAATGAATTACTATTTCAAGTAAATATAAGATTTTTATAAATCTTATTTACCAGCAACCAGTCCATGCAGCAACAACTTGTGTCAAAATGGAGCGGCTTGTGTCGGTATCACCAATGTTCCTAACCAATGTAACCTTTACACATGTACATGTCCAGCTTGCTTTACCGGAACGTACTGTCAAACAGGTAATAATTCAACAACTACCAAGACACTTGAGGCCTTTGGCTAAGTTTTATTCAGGCCCTGTGACACTGGGTGCTGGGTTTGATGACCCAATTTTGAAATTTTAATATTTTTTCTATTGTAGACTGCTTTATCCTAATAGCAGGCAATATAAGTGAACTAATCAAATTATATGGCCTTACGTGCCTCATGTCACGAAAAGGATAGAAGAGACAACGTAGTGGCATAACAAAAAAAGGGCACTTAGGCCCATGGTTGAACCTTCTTTATGCACTACTAACACATGGTCTGGGGACTGCGTAGGGCCCAGTGGTGTTCAGAGAGGATTCATGATCTGTTTCAGTTATTTGACGTTTCAAGGGCCTATTCTGCTCATTAATATAGGTCACACTTTGCAGTTTTGGTACTTGTGGTCCTGACAGGATACTCTCCATTAGTATCCTGGAGCTCTTTGAGCTTCTGGGACCCTTGCTTTTGATAATGGGAGCTCATAGGTGTTACAACAAAGGGCAAAGAGTCTTCACTGAAAGATTTTACTTGGATTTCAACCCTTCAACAGGAACACAAGCTTTATTAATTTATTTAGTATGCGCTAATGTCAATTTATTTATTTCATTTATTTTTTTCGAGTTTAAAATGATCAACTCATCACTGTACACCATTCATTTATAACTTTTGATTGTACTTAGTATGTGGTGTGCAAATAAAACTTGAAACTTGGGACAGCAGTGATGGAAATCAACGAGGGACCAAAGATCTGATAGATTCCACTGTTTTATACATACAATGGCTACCACAGGTTGAGCTGAGCCATGTTCGACTTTGCTGCTTTCTTACATTATTCTCAAGGGCAGATCCAGTGATGTTCGAAAGAGGGTCGAGAGAAAACAGTACCCTAGGTGCGGGAGAGGGTCCGGAAAAAGTTTTTTGGCGATCAATAATTTCTATTTCTTTTTTTTTCCCCTTTTTTTTTCACTTTCCAAAAGCGGGGACCTGGGCTGTCACTCTAAATCCGTCCCTGATTTTAAATAACTTACATATATTAAAATTTAAGTAAGCATTCCACAAAATGAATTCAAGTTTATTAGCCAGACAAAGACATTTAAATGTGATCATCACTTTCTTATGTTTTAGCTGTAAATGCTTGTGATAACAACCTTTGCGCAAATGGAGGTGTTTGCAACTCAGTTGCTGGTTCCTGTATTTCTTATACCTGTACCTGTCCAGCTTGCTTCACTGGCGCATTCTGTCAAACAGGTTAGTTACTGATATCAAGACATTATTATATGATACAGGACTTTTAATTACATGGCTTCCATAAAAATTTAGTCTTTAAGTAATAATTTCTTTATTATGTATCATACTATTGGTTTAAATATCTTCATACTGGGATAGTGAAAAGATAATAATATAATGTTCTCAGAGTTCCGTCTCTAATTAAAAAGTTCTAAATGGAGACCATGGCTAAGACTGGCCTCTAAAAAGCATTATAAAAGGGATGATGGAAATCAAAACAAAAATTGTGTAAATGAAGGCCCTATCCATGGTCTACAAAATCAGCATAATTAGAGAGGGTAATACAAACAGAGACCAAAACTGCAAATGTTCCCAAAAGTGCTTCTTTTGTCTTTTGACAAAAAGAAAAAAAATCCTTGTCTCCCATTCTGGGTTTTTCAAAAAGTTGGTGAGTGAGGCTTATTTGATATTTGTTATTTTTCACAGTTCATCGAAATATGCCAAAGAATGTTCTCTGCGTAGCAAAATGTGTTGTAAACAATTTGTCAATAGTTTTGTCATTGCTTCTCTTGCCGTTATCATGGTCTTTGTGTTTGAAAATGCATTTGTAAATTATAAAATGTGTCAGCAATTTAAATTTCTTACATTTTCGAAGTGAAAAAACCCTGAAATTTTAAAAATTACTAATACCAAAAGAATTGATGTGGGCCCATAAAATGATGAAGGAGTGGATGGGAAACAAGGAATTTTTGTTATTTGGCCTTTAATTCTGAGTTGACTGAATCATTAAAACAAAACTCTACAAATCCAAAGGACTAAAATGCAATGACTATAGCAGCCATAAGATAGTATAATACATATTCCAAGTATCAAAATGCACGCCATTGTGTCGGGATTCAATATTTCGACATCAATTGTGTCATCATCTGGAGTCATATGTTCCACAAAAGACAATGTGGATATTGGAAGTAGCTATAGAAGGCTGCAATATATGTTCATCTGTTATTTTAAACCAGAAATCATAATCGGTTACCAGTAGTGTATAGGCGGTACAGTACCATGAAAATAGCCTTCTGTTTTAGTGGAAAAAACAGTAATACAGATCACAATATTAAAAACGGAATGCATAGATTTTGTCAGAATGTTTTTGTGCCAGTACCGTAATTCTCACACATCCGATCACTGATGCCAAGGGCAGACCCACATCACAGTGGAAAAGAGAGAATGCCTCCTAGTGGGTAAATTATTGTTAAGAGTAAGAAAAATGGGTCTTGAATTAGAGTGGTCTCAGAATTTTAGGGGTCTCTGAATAAGTTGGAGTAAAATTATTAATAATATTAATAATAATCCTATTGTAATTGGTTAGACTGTTACTATTATTGTTATTTTGTATTGCTATTTTTATTATAGTTAATATTTTTGTTGCTATTATTATTAGTAATATAACTACTATTTTTTATTATAATTATCATAATTGCTGTCATTGTTTTCAACACTATTAATATTATAATTATAAATAATTATTATGATCATTGTCATGATTATTATTATTATCAATCTTTATAAATAATGTACTTCTTTATATTGTTTATGTTTATTTCATTCCTATCTAGCTGTGAATGCCTGCAGTAACAATCTCTGTCAAAATGGAGGTGCTTGTAACACTGTGCCAGGAAGCTGCACTCTCTACACATGTTCCTGTAGTGGATGTTACAGCGGCTCTTTTTGTGAAACTCGTAAGAAGAACAATATTCTCTCTGTTTATCCTTTATTGTATGTATAACCTGGTTAAATAATTGGTAAACTCCTCCAGGTGTATTGCTCGTATCTACTGTACTGATTTGTCTGCAAGATATTCTAATGTTTTATAACAAATGTAAAATAAGAAAAGCAAAAATATTATGCTACTGTATTTCCAACTTTATTTTAAATTTTTTATATAATAAACAAGATTCTAGACATATAGTATTATATACAATATATTATTTCTCTTATATTTCACTACATAAAAAGCAAATTATTATTAATATTTATATTTACAGTATCAAGTGGATGTACTAACAATGTATGTCAGAATGGTGGTGCATGCTCACCCGTTGCTGGGTCGTGTACACAATACACTTGCACATGTCCAACTTGCTTTACTGGAACATTTTGTGAAACTGGTAATGTCTGTGGTGTATAAATGAACTTCAGCAAACAATGTGTTAATAGCTGGTTAAATATTGACTTGAATAATTCAGTATTAATAAATGCACCACTTTTTGTCATATTATCATTTGTCTTCTAAAGGGTGAATTTAAATTATCTTCATCTGTCTACTTGGGTCCTTGTAGAATATAAACTAGGAATTTGGCATTGCACGGTTGTTGCGAAATGAGCAATCCTATCTTGCTGTAAAGAATGCTTGGGGACTGGTACATTTAGTAGTATTTTTGTAGAATGTCTTGGTTAGAGTATTTAACAATGCTAGTTCTTTAATAAGTTTCTATATTCATAAGTATTCTATTTCTCTATGTTAAAGCTGTCAATGCTTGCTCTAACAATGCATGTCAGAATGGAGGAGCATGCGTACCATCAGCAGGAAGCTGCACATCTTACACCTGCACCTGTCCAAGCTGCTTTACCGGTTCATTCTGTCAAACAGGTAGGCCTACATTATTCACTAAAAACATTTATCAATAAATTATAAATAAATACAAAGTGGATACATAGAGATACAGGAAGTGAGCACACTATGTCCAGACTTCATAATATATGAATCAGATGCAAAATATAAAATCATTTTATTCTGTTTTATTTAATTTTAAATCATCAGTAACAACGTCTATTTCCTAAATGTTTTGTTTGACTGCCATATTTGTATATTGTCGAATAATCTTAAACTATTATTTTACATCAAAATTTCTCATATATAAATACATATATTTTAAATATACTTTACAGTCTGTTATATGAATTCTGTATTTAACTTGTATAAACAGAATAACTTTTGTTCCTGTAACCAGAACACCCTTCAGCAATAATAGAACTGCCCATCCCTAATAATCAAATAATATTTTGATTGACTGTTGTTAATGCATCAAAATTTCTCATATATTTACATACATATATTTTAAGGAATATTGTCATAAATATACTTTACAGTCTATTTTATAAATTCTGTTTTTAACTTGGATGAACAAAATAGAAGCAATTGTTTCTGTAACTTATAACCTCTCAACAATAATTAAACTGCCCATCCCAAAGAAACAAAACTGTGAATGCACCTTTTTTTGCAGCTATCAATGCTTGTGATAACCACATCTGTCAGAATGGAGGTGCTTGTACTGCTATAGCTGGTTCATGTACATCTTATACTTGTACCTGTCCAGCTTGTTTCACTGGACAATTCTGTACAACAGGTGTGTTGTTTTTTAAGTAGTATAATTTCATTAATTCTTTTAATTCTGTTCATCATCTGTTATGCAAACGCCTTAACCAACTGAGCTATTGAGGCTTGTTGGGAATCTGATCGAAGCATCTAATTCTTCATATCCATGTGAATGCGTTAGACAACACTAGTCCTTGATGCATGGCAATTAACAGCGATCAATATGATACACCCCCCTTTTAATACAAAACGAGATCTCCAAAGAGCTAATTTTTTTATAAATAAGTCATGATATATAGAGATAAACTCTAAATCATCTTACAGTAATGCTATAAATATATAAGTAAATTTTGGACGTTAAAGAAGAGGAATCTGCGAGTGTAAAAAAAAATTATTGCTCCAACCAGGATTTGAACCCGGGACCCTTTGCTGTCTATGCAGATGCCTTTAACCAACTGAGCCATTGAGGCTTTTTTTTGAAAATTTAAATCCGATTAAAGCATCTAATCCTTCACACTCATAACAACACTAGTCCTTGCTAGTGTCCCATGTCTTCCCAGTGAGAATATTTTTTTAAATAATAAGCTGCTAGACGCTCATACAGGCATCTTGTCCTAAGGATGGTGTTTTTTGTATCTCATCGGCGTCCAAATTATTAATTTATATAGGCCTATCCAATTCATTCCAACATTTGATATAAACATTTTATAATATACTTTTTATTTCCCAATGATTCTCCCCTAATTTCTCCGACGGAGGGGTTGTAGCCTCCCTACTAGTCTCTATCCCTCCATACAACTCGAGGGCTCATACATAGTGAAGCAAACTTTAATTTAAGCCAGCTTATAGCTAAAACCATTTTGCTGCTTAGCACTGGGAACACAGGTAATGTATGAATCAAATAGATAATAATACAGTGCTGAAATATATAGGAACATAATGCTATAAGTATTGTATCAAACATAGTTCATCGACAAAGAAAAGGTCTCTTATGTGAGTTGATATTATTTTCACTTTATTCAAATTTAAATTTACATAAAAACAAGTTACAATTTTTGGCTAAAAGGCCAACAAATTGTTTGCAAAATTTACAGAAACTATCCATTCATTAAAATGTTTTAATATATAAAACATAATTCATTCAAATGTTAATATTAAAAAACTCAACTTCAAAACCAAAAAAGTATAAAGTGGAGCAACTTCATCGGTCAAAGTGAGGAGTGCTGCCAGTGCCTCAAACGGCAGGGAGACGGGGGTGGGGGTGGAGGTTGAATTATGAGATGTTGAATGATTAATGTAATATGGTATGGGACTTTTTGAAAAATCATTTGATTTTGCATTTAAGCTGTGAATAAATTACTTCAATTACTTAAATTCATTTCTATCATGAGATTGTTGTCGGGTTGGTGGAATCAGAGCAGCAGAATGGTTAGTAAGTGAGAGGCCTTCAGGAATTTTGAGGCAGTGGGCTGCTCTCCTCTCGCAGAGGGTGTAGAGATTACAAAGCGCTCCAGCATGTTCATAAGACTGGTAGTTCCTTCCCAAAATTATAGGTCAACCACGATTCTGAGTAGCCTCAAGTCAAGCACTATGTGATATATCGCTTTTGAAATATGAGATCTCCTGAACTATATAAAAAATGTTTCTACATGGTTTAAAATATCAGTTTACCAACACTGCTTGGTAAGGTGGGGTTTCCACTTAATTTACCATCTATTTAGTAAGTTTTTTTTTCATTGTATTCCACATTTTACAGGATTATTGTTTTCATATTTTGTTCCCATTTTAACTGTTTGAATTCTGAATTAATTTCTTTTTGTGTTAACAGCACTTAATGCCTGTACCAACCATTTGTGTCAGAATGGAGCTGCTTGTAATGCTGTTCCCAATTCCTGTACCGATTACACCTGTACCTGTCCAACATGTTTTACTGGAACTTTCTGTGAAAGTGGTAAGTGAATTCTGGTAAAATTTAAGTGAATACTTACATGATACACATTGGTATATCTGCAGGGTGGGGTGGCTCACACACTTCCATTAAATATTGGACCTCTTCCAGTCAATCCCCCATTAAAAATGTTTGAAGCAATAAAATCACGCTCTAAGTTTTTAAAAATCAGCTTATGTTTGCAAGTTAGCACCCTCTCACCCAATTGTATAGCCCCCAAATTCACTTTCACCATGATAGGATGGGATATATATATAAATAAAGTGATAAAATGTATGTGAATGAACATTAAAAAAAATATTTGTTCATAAATATGCTCATAATTAAATAAACAGTATAAAAAAACTATACAAAATTTTCAAAAACCACTATGCTCATAATTGTTTATTATTGTTTTATATGTATATATAATATTGCTACATTGATTTGTTGGAAGGTGTAAAGTTTGTTCTTTTCCATAGCTATTAATGCTTGTGCTAACAACGTCTGTCAGAATGGAGGTGCGTGCAATGCTGTAGCTGGTTCCTGCACTATTTACACCTGTACATGTCCAGCTTGTTATTCTGGTTCATTCTGTGAAACAGGTAAATTTTTGGTCCCATTTTCCTAAAAACCGTCTACATAAATATGTAGTTTCAAAATTCTTAATTATGCAATTTAATTTTAAATTGGTTAAATTAAACAACTATACTTTCTTTTTTAATGCTTGTTAAAAACTATAATCATGATGTTTTGAGGGTTTTTTTACAAAACAGACTCAATAACAAATTCTTTGTCATCGTTGTTCTACAGTTTGTAGTTTGCTCTTTTAACTCTATAAAATCTTTCATTTTCTAAGTTTTGTCATTATATCAGTACTCCTGCTTTTTAATGTTACCATTAATCTTTCATATTATTATTATTATTGTAGTATTACATTGTTTTAGTATTCTGTTTTTAATCAGATGTTCATTGTTAGAAATTTATGATTAATTTCTATGAGACCCTAAGGTGCAGAATGAGTTAATAAGTAGTTTTCGCCTAATGACGTTAACCTTAACTTTAACATTAGTACCAAACATGCAACGCGATAACTCTGCCCCTTTTTGAACAAATCAAAATTTGTATGCGCAAACCCGTAACTAATGTACATCGAGCACGTAAATTCCTGAAATTAACGTACTCAGTAACACAAGATGAATAACTTATGATGTCATCCGTTAATGTTAAAGTTAACGTCTTGAGGCGAAAACTACCTAGTGTTTGAAAGCTTGGAAAAATACAACTCTGCACAACACCTTCTATTTTGTGCAGCTCTTTTTGTAGGAAAATTACACCACAGGGAGGCTATGATTTTACTGCATAGCATAAAGAGAGTAATTCTAGTTATTAATTTCTTAAGTACAGTATTTTTTAATCAGTGTCTAGGCGAACAATACTATGTAACCGAGGTCATTTTTTGTATTCATTTTTTATTTAGAAGTTTGTTGTTAGAATACTTATTTGTTCTCATTGATTTTTTTTTTTTTTCGTTAATAGCAATTAATGCCTGTTCAAACAATGTGTGTCAGAATGGGGGTGCCTGTGTAGGTGTTCCCAATTCCTGTACTGCTTATACCTGTACCTGTCCATCATGTTATACTGGAGCTTTCTGTGAAAGTCGTAAGTACAAGTTTGCAAACCTAGGTTACTGCTAGGTTTGTCTAAAACCAATTCACACAGATCAACAGTTCTTGCTCTGACCCAGCATTTATTAGGACTCATCAAGCCAAGCAAAAGGTAAAACTGTTGCTATGGCTACCTAGTATATAGCTGGTCAGACTGGTTACGCACCACTGCATAACCAATGTGAGTTGCCTTTCACATAGACACATTAATGGGTCTGACCAAAGTCAGACCCATTAATGTGTCTATTAATTGGTGGTACTTTTCACCTGGTTTATCTGTCAGGAATCATTTCACACAGACACATTGCAGGGCCTCTGGCCCAACTTAATTGTTGTTATTATTGTTGTCATTGTTGTTATTAATATTTATCATTTTATATATTAATAATTTTATATTATAATAATTATTTTAATATTTAAAATGGACATTAAATTGGTGACAATTTGTTTCTTGATTTGCTCTGTAGTTGTGAATCCTTGCAACAACAATGCTTGTCAGAATGGAGGTGCTTGTGTCCAGGTTCCTGGTTCCTGTACAGCATACACATGTACCTGTCCATCATGCTACACTGGACAATTCTGTCAAACTTGTGAGTATGAATCAGCAAATTAATATTTTTTTTCTGAGGACTTGACGTGGAACTTTTGAACGACGGGTTGTCCTGGCCTTTCAACGATTTTGGGGGAGGGGTGGATTGCTTTTCATGAACCCCCCAACTAACACTGGTGGGAGGATGGCTCTATTACTTGAGAAGTGTTCCTTTTAAAAACAGTAGAAACAGTGGCAGTTTAGTCTAATGTGTTTTGTTTCTTGATTCTTTGTTCTTGGTTGGATGTCTGTTAGTAAAAATGTTCTTTTGATTGTCCTGCCTGTAGTTCTGTATTTTTAGAGTTTATATTACATATTTTATGTCCATCCTGTAAGGGGCGATTTTTCGCTGTTGGTTGGGAAATAAATAAATAATGGATATTTACCTGGATATACGATATATGCCATTTTCTCAATCTACTAGTGACATGATCTTGTGCGAGCAACAGTAAAGATAAGGCCTATAAGTCTCTCGCACACAAACTAATACATTAATTGTGTATTTCAGTGCTAAATGCTTGCAGCAACAATGCCTGTCAGAATGGAGCGGCATGTGTAGCGGCGGCTGGTTCTTGCACTGTCTACACCTGTACCTGTCCTAACTGTTTTACTGGAACATTCTGTGAAACCGGTACGAAAGTTTTTTTTTGTTTTTTTTTTGTGCACTGTTGTTTGAGGTTTTTGTAATGTAAAAAGAATTGTCATATTTAAAGTTTATATGCCTTGGCTTCTCTGGTCGTGAAAACACTACGCCTGTTTTCATGATTTGGGAAACTAGCCTTCCACATCCCACCACTGCTCTTGTGGGCCCCATTTTTGTGAACTCAGTTTTTGTTTACTGTGGAACTGAGCTTTCAATATAACTAGACAGGCCAATCTTAGTTAATTGTCAATATACAATAGTAATTAAAATCTTTGATTCTGTCAACCATCTGGTACTTTTTTTTCTTTAGCTATCAGTGCTTGTGCTACTAACCTTTGTCAGAATGGAGGTGTTTGCAACTCAGTTGCTGGTTCCTGTACAGCTTATACTTGTACCTGTCCAGCTTGCTTCACTGGAGCCTTCTGTGAAACAGGTAAAAACACGTTATATTTTCATTGCGGCGGATTTTTTGGGCTCAGTACGGATTCCAAAAGTATGCATTTTCTTTTAGTTTTATAGCGCATGCGGATTTTATAAGTCCGCAATGACGATATAACGTGTTCAAAGTAATTTGACAGTATATTTCATAGTAGCAAATGTTTTAAGCTGAATTACCAAAGGTAAATGTGCTTTTGAGGCATATTGTTAAGCTATTTTGCAGAACTAATAAGAATACCAACACAAAATTTATCAGTTGTTTATTTTTAGAGGTAATTTTCTCTATGTTTTTAGACATCTGAACTTAAATATGATCTTATTCCAGTTTTACTCAACCTAGAAACCAGATTCAAAAACAAAATTTAAGCTTATATAGTCTTTCTTTAATCTTACTAAATATATCAGTAACTGTTTTTTTCTAAAAAGTGCAGAGACATGTGTAAATGTTCTATAGTGACTTTAATTTCAACCATTCTAAACACAATAAGATCAACAATGGAATTACACCAGAGACCCACGATATTCATAGTGCACACAATGACTGCCTTCAGCTTATAAAACTTTTCTTCTGTAAAATCCACAAATATATCTGACTAATTTAATTGTTGATAAGATAATTATTAAAATAATTTAATAATTTTCAAGGTAATTAGTGACAATCTTTTGTTATTTTTTTTTTACAAATTATTTGAATTTTTATAAATGTGTGTAAATATACAATTATATGTTGATGTTTATCATTCATTATTATATTTTTGTTATTATTATGGTCTTTTATTATTATTATTGCTATTAATATTATTAATTTTATTATTATTTTGAATATTATTATTATTATTATTATTATTTTTATTATTATTATTGCTATTAATATTATTAATTTTATTATTATTTTGAATATTATTATTATTATTATTATTATTATTATTTATTATTATTATTATTGGTATTACTTTTTTTTGTTTTGTACTGGTTCGGGCATTTATAATGCGCCTCTTCCTTGAGGTTATAAAGCGCAGTTCCTTCCCCTGGTCATTGGGTCCACATGCTAATTGTTGCTGCTGGTAATCAGCACAGGAGCAGGCAACCCCACCAGGTTCCCATTTATACTCCATTGTGGAGAGAAGCAATGCAGATAAAGTGGCTTGCCAAAGGACACGGGCATGTTCCCTTTTTACCTACCAGACTCATTACGTCTGAGTTTTGAGTGAAATAAAATTATGAATTATGAAATTTTGCTTTATTGATTTTGTAAGTTAAACATTTTCAGCCTTCAGGCTGCTTGTTGTGACTGTTGTATACCAGAATACATAAATAAAAAACATATATATGAATTATTACTACTTATATAAGTGTGTAATTAAATACATTCTTTTCATAGCTGTTAATGCATGTTCTAACAACCTCTGCCAGAATGGAGGTGCTTGTAATACTGTACCTGGTTCTTGTACTGCTTATACCTGCACCTGCAGTGGGTGCTTTAGCGGTTCTTTCTGTGAAACAGGTAAGTCTCTATCAGTCAATAATCAGCTTTGTGAAGCGACAATGTTAAGCGGCGTTATGACATAAGCATTACCCAAAGTGCATGTAAATGAGACTACATTACACATGAATTAAAAGTAATTGTAATCTATTTTGATCTGTTGAGGCACAATTTCAGTTGCTTTTGTCCCTTGTGTCAGAGGGGTACATCACCCTGCTGGCACGTGACTAGCCATGATTCTGGTGGTGGAACAGTAGTCTTCTCAGATAAGTACAGTACTATAAACCATATGCCCAATGGACACAATGCTAGTGTGCACTATAAAGAACCTAGTACATCTTTTGAGACGAGTAAGGGGTTACTCCGTTGTACAGGTTCATACAGCCCCTGTTGTGGACAGACGAGAGAGAGCTGGTACTGGTTTACTGGGTAGCTCAGACACGAAGAGACCCTTAGGAAAAAAGAAAGTTAATGAGGGAGAAAGAAAGTTAATGTGCGAGCTAGTCCACACCTCGAGCGCTTTGAGACGGTATATAGCGCTATATAAATCCAATTACAAATATACCAAACATATGTTGCAGCTGTCCCGTATCTTAATCATATAGCCTTGCTTTTATTGCCAGCACAGTGTTGAGTGGCAATCCCATAAAACAGACAATGCAATGGGTCTGTGCAATAGTTTTCATTGATAATTCACTCGTACGACCCCCCAACCATCAGCTTTTTCTACGATTGCAATTGTAATAATTGGTTGAATCATTTTTTTTTGTAGCTTTGAATGCTTGTAGCAACAACATTTGTCAGAATGGAGCTACTTGTGTTGGTGCTCCCAATTCCTGTACTGCTTACACTTGTACCTGTCCATCGTGTTTCCAGGGAACTTTTTGTGAAACAGGTAAGAAATTCAGTATTATATTCCTGTTAAAAAGTTGATTTATTCCGTGGTGAGGATAAATAAAATTTGTTGTTTAGCCCAAGTACTGAGGCTTTTGCAAATCAAAATTGGTCAGTCAGCAATTTTTAACTACTGTATTATTATTATTATTATTATTATTATTCCATACATGTGGGCCATGGACACAAATTGAGAATTGTTTTTTTTTTAACCCCACCAAACAGAATTTGATTTCTATTACACTGTTTTGTCCGAGAGTTATGAGCATTACCAGTGAACTGCATTGGTGGTGGTTGTGTGGTAGCAGAGATGCTGTGTTTTGTCAGCAACAATCAGAATAATATTATAACAGATAGTACAGTAGTTTGTAATGGTTGCAGATTTTTTAATGAACACGAATCTTAGCATCACATAGTATATACATTAGATTTTGGAAGAGGACAAAATTGAAGTACTATAGTCTAATGTACTAAGAATCTACATTCATTAAAATTAGATGTAGGTTATCATTAATTTTGTTAATTTCAGCTGTCAATCCATGCAGTGCTAACCTGTGTCAAAATGGGGGTGTTTGTAACACTGTTCCTGGTTCCTGTGTCGCTTACACCTGTACCTGTCCAGGATGTTTCTCTGGAGCTTTCTGCGAAACATGTAAGCATATCATGACCTCAGTAAACATTACAAGGCTGACAACATTGAGAAAGTAGCTCAGCCTAACCAAGTATGAATTCATTTAGGTAAAAGAGAATAAAATGGCTAAAACTCACAAATTCTCAGGGGCATTCCGTCCGCTTAGACTCTCGCAATAGGTAATGAAACATTTCCAAAATATTCCTCCTACGGATCATTGGTCCTCCATTGTACACATAAAAAAAAATTAGGTCTTCCATCTGAATAGTTACAATGCTCACTGGTAAAATAGCATGTAAGAATTTAGCATTTAAATAAAACATTTTTCATATGAAATGATCAAAAAAGTTTTCAACTTTACTTGAAACACAAATCAAAACAATTCAATTTTGTTTATTTCCAAAAAATTTGTTACAAACATTTGACATTTTCCTTCTGATGTACATTCATTTTACTACAAAAATCATGAAACTGATTACCAACCAACTTAAGGGTCTGTGCAAATTATATAAAAATGGTTTGGTACAGTAGGAACGGTTTGGTTTCCCAACCTCGAGGTTGGAGTTTCAAGGAGTCTCCTTGAGCAAGGCACTATATCTGCATTGCTTCTCTCCACCCTGGAGTATAAATGGGTACTTGGTGGGGTTGCCTGCCCCTAGCTACACTTAAAGCATATGGACCCAATGACCAGGGAAAAGAACTACTCTATGTATCTGCAAAGAAAAAGCACTACATAAATGATATAAATAATAATAAAGAAACTATTATTTATGTATCTATTGGCAAGAAAAATGTTGTGGTTTTTATTAAATGCTACATAATTTAATTAAATATACAAAAGACGTATTTTATTTTCAAATTTATTGGCTTAATTGAGGTAGTAAGTAGTATATTTGTATGTTTTCAAAATTAATATTAAATTGCCAATAAACACATTGCTTTTTTTTCCTTAAAAATAAGTGCCTGCAGCAACAACTATGAGTTGACCAGAAAGACTATGAGTTGCAACCTTAGAAATAATACAATTACAAAGAAACAAATAATATTTTTATTGACTGTTGTGAATGCACATTTTTTGCAGCTAACAATGCTTGTGATAACAACCTCTGTCAGAATGGAGGAGGTTGTACTGCTATAGCAGTTTCCTGTACTGCTTACACCTGTACCTGTCCAGCATGTTTTTCTGGTGCCTTCTGTGAAACATGTATGTAGATTCAATTTTGAAACTTTGCAATTATATTGAACAGCCATATATAGTCATGGTGTGCCTATATATGGTCATAATGTGATGTCATTTTGACCATATTTAGGTGTCACATGTTTTTGTCAAATAAAATTTGATAGTCTGGAATGGACTTTAGAAAAAACAAATGTATTGACTAAAACATTAAAAAAAAGAATTGCATTTACAGCTATCAATGCCTGCAGTACCAACCTCTGTCAGAATGGAGCCTTCTGTAGCACTGTTGCTGGGTCATGTACTGATTACACCTGTACATGTCTGTCTTGCTTCACTGGAACTTTCTGTGAAACAGGTAAATGATTTTATAATAGGATTTTAACCCCTGAAGTCAAAGTACAATTTTACAAATATAAACCAATTAAAATAAAAAAATGTGTTTGATTTCTAGTTATTTAAAATTTGGTGTTTATTTCTAAATTTAATTTTCCTCCATGGTCTGCAATGGTCTTAATAATATGTTTAGCATTTATAAAGTGCTCTTTACTGGTATCTCACAGCCCTATATGACCATTAATATAATGGAAGAGGTGAGTTGTAAGGAGAGGTACTTAATTTTGTGTACTGAATATTGTTCCGTAGCTATCAATGCCTGTGATAACAACCTATGTCAGAATGGAGCAGTTTGTGTTGGTGTAACAGGCTCCTGTACTGCATACACTTGCACCTGTAATGGCTGCTTCACTGGCCAGTTTTGTGAAACAGGTAATTTTTTTCTTTAACTAAAAGTGTTTCTTGGATAGAAAATTTTAGCAAAATAATATTCTAAAGCTTATAACGCAATCAAGCATGTATTTATACCTGGAAATATGCAAATCTGTATCTGATTCCAGTTTGCTTGTTAGGACTTTCCACAAAAAAATTGTATATACATTATTTTGATTTTCCTAGGAAAACATGTTTCTGCTTTTATGTTGGCTTTATAATCAGGTTTACATGTGTTACCTTTGTGATTGCTGATGCTTGAAATAGATATATGAAATATCATAAATTTACAATATTTTTGCAGCTGTCAATGCTTGTGATGTTAACCTCTGTCAGAATGGGGGACACATATTTTTGTCAAATAAAAATTTTATAGTCTGGAAAGGACTTTAGAAAAGACAAATGTATTGATTAAAACATTAAAAAAAAGAATTGCATTCTGTTGACAGCTATCAGTGCCTGCAGTAACAACCTCTGTCAGAATGGAGGTACTTGTAACACGGTTCCTGGTTCCTGTACAGCTTATACTTGTACCTGCCCTGGATGTTTTACTGGGGCCTTTTGTGAAACTGGTAAATACAGTACATTTATATATACACGATCAAAGATTTTTAAAAGAGATTTGTTTCCCTCCTCCCAAGAGTCTTATGTTTCTTGTAGGGTGCAATTGTTTCGGTCTCTCAACCTTGAGATTGTAGGATCCGCATTGCTGCGTTCACATCAAATTCAAACCAAACTTTTTTGTCAATATAAAAGTTAAACCTTTCAGTGTATTTAGTGAGTAGTAAGGAATTGGCAGGTATACTCTCTTAATGAGTGTTTAAAATATAGTACAATAAAACGCATTTCTGTTTGGCCGAGTTAGGTTTAAAAACATGTGTTAGGTTAATTTTATTATTTTATAGAAAGGGATTTGCTGTGGGCGGAGATATAC